CGAGGAGAGTAGGAAGAGGGATTGGGGGACAGAGACATACAAAGGAGGTTGGAAAACCAAAACTGTCTGGGCTAATAGGGGGTGATCAGGATGACTGTCGTTTTGTCTCATCTGATCTTGTGATGCACTCTTGGTAGGAGCAGGAGAGGAGGAAAGGTGTAATAGAGTTGGTCCGACCAGGGGAGGATAAGAGAGTCGCCCTGAGAGTGGTGTCCCAGGTGCTGCATTTTCTGTTGAATGGGGAGGCAAAGACATCTATGGTCAGAGTTCCCCATTTGCTGAAGGTGTCCTGTAGCATGGTGTCATGGAGTTCCCACTTGTTGTCTATCACGAACTATCTGCTGACCGAATCTGCAATAACATTGTGTGTCTCTGGAAGATAAGCGCCAAATACGGTAATCTGGTAGGGGATGCACCAGTTCCAAAGCTTTTGAGCACAGTCTCGTCACGCCTGTTGATGTAGCACACCAGTCATGGTATTGTCTGACATGATGAGAATATGATGGGAACAGATGAGTGGGAGAAAAGCTAGGCATGCCTTCCTTACTGCTTGGAGCTCCAAAATGTTAATTGTATTCTGGACTCCCAAGGAGTCCATGTTCCCTCTGGCATGTGTTTGGCCATGTGCGCTCATCGTAGGAGGGAGGTGTTGGTGATAATAGTCTTGTTTGGGGAGGAGGGTACGAAGGGAATCTCTATGCAGATCTGACCTGGGTCCCTCCACCAGTGGAGGGATGAGATTACCTTGGGGGGAACTGTTAGCTTGAGGTCCATGGTGTGATGATTGGGCGAGTAAACTGTCTGGAGCCACATTTCGAAGAAGCCAGGGTGAAGTCGAGCAAAGGTAGTGATGTATGTGTGCACAAGGCCATGTGGCCCTGGAGGGATAGGCAAGTCCTGGCCATGACCAAAGGATTGTTGACTACGGGAGTTATGAGTTTTGCAGACTCTGGAACCTGTCTCGTGGTAGGTAGGCTCATACCATGATGGAGCTGATAGTGGCCCCTATAAAGTCTAGGCATTGTGTGGGGTTTAAAGATGATTTTTTTGGCATTGATACTGACTCTGAAGGAAGAAAGGAGGCTGAGCAACATTGAGGTTGAAACTTGGACCTCATGTCTGGACTGTGCCGCCAGGAGCTAGTCGTCAAGATATGGGAACACAAGCACGCCATAATGCCTGATGTGGGCTGCCAAAATGGAGAAAACCTTGGTGAAAACTCTGGTGGCAACTCCAAAGGGAAGAACTCTGTATCGGAAATGTTGCGAGCCAACTGTGAACCTCAATAAATGTCTGTGGGCTGGATGAATGTCGATGTGAAAATAGGCGTCCTGCATATCAAGAGCTGTAAACCACATGCCTTTTTCTAATGAGGGGATAATCACTGCTAGTGTGACCTATGAAACTTGGGCTTACCCTGCAACAACAAAAAAGGACACTGACTGTACCAGGTTCTGTTGTGCTGAACCTGGACACACTGTGTGTATTGGGCTCTGAAGAACATATAAAGCTCGCCAAATTTTAGTAGTTTGACCCACCAAACTATTATCACAGCTGCATTAACATCTTTTAACAACAAGATTACTGGCTTTAAAGGACAAGTATGATTTGGGAGAAAAACATTAGAAAAGCTAAGCATTCTCTACAGATAGGAAAGGCAAAGATTTCTCTCAGTACAACACTGAATCACTAAAATGCAGAGTGCAAAGGCTTCAATGGCATTTTTTTGTGTCAATACATGATTTTAAATTCAATAAAAAATGATAAGTGAGAATGGTGTAGCTGAAGAACAAAGAAAAATCCCTAATATTTAAGTTTAATTTATTTAAAGCTTTGCTTACTGTGATAGCCTTCTGAGAAACACATATCATGTTTATGAAGGTCTCAGGAGAATCTTTATCTATATCTATTTATTTCCATATATCTTATTGCAGAAATAGTAGTGCTGTAACAAGATAATGCACATAAAACAAAAAGATGACATAACAGTCAGTGTTCAGCCACCAAGAATGCTGGATTTAAAATCTGTAAGACCCATGCCCTATATAAACACAGGCACAAAGGCAAGTATTTCAGAAATAGGAATAAATTGCCCAGAAATGGACCTCTGTATTTCTCCACAGAGGACTATAAAAACACTTTAAAAAGTGTCTAAATGGGCCATCTTGATTATCACTACACAAGTTTTTTTTTCCTCCTGCTGATAATAGCTCATCTTAACTAATTAGCCTCTCACAGTTTGTATGGTAACTTCCAACTTATCTGTATGTATACATCTTACTATATGTTCCATTCTATGCATCCGATGAAGTGGGCTGTAGCCCATGAAAGCTTATGCTCTAATAAATTTGTTAGTCTCTAAGGTGCCACAAGTACTCCTGTTCATTTTGCAGATACAGACTAACACGGCTGCTACTCTGAAGCTTTAAAAAGAGTTTGATTAAATCTGTTTCTAGAAAAGCTATGTAAAATTGTAAATTCTGGAAGAAGGTTAAGCACATGTAAATAATAGGATCATTCACAGTGGCCTTTTAATAAACAAAGTATTTGGGGAGTCCTCCACATAAAATTATTTGATTTTTTTTACAAAATGATGCATTTTAGAAATTAATTTTTTCACTTGAAAGCTGGGAACACTTCACAAGCATCTGATTTCAGGTTTTTGATAGATTTCTCACGTCTTCAGGACGGCTGCTACAACCTGGCTCTTGGTGGTACAGTAGTTACAAGAGTCACAGGGCTGCAGGCACTGTAAGCATGAAAGTGCCACTGAATAATAATAAAGTGCCTCCTCTCCTTCTCCCTGGCATGGGGGAATCTCCTGTCTCTCTACATTCCACCTTGTTATCTGAGGAGAATGAGAACAGAGATGGCAATTGTTTGGGAAAGATGACATGTCCCAACTGCGAATTCTCTTATTATTTTTTCTAAATGAGAACTGACTCCTCTCATCTGCAAAAGACAAGCACCCCAATTCCACTGCCTCTCCCTCTAGGGAGAAAGATAGTTAATATACAAACAGACTTTGAAATGCCTGTAAATCTTTTACAGTGCAGGAAATTGCATGAATATGTACACATTTTGAGAGGGAAAATCTCCTGGAACAGCTGTTTTAACTTTTTTCTTTATTATTGATACAGGTTCTCCATACTGATCAAGCCTAAAAAACGGCACACATAAGACTAGGCATGCAGGATCAGAAGGAGGGACCACTTACTGCACACAGACGTCTCTTGTTATATGGCTGGCTAAGGACCTGCTTGCGGACATGAACTTTTTTCAGATAAATTTCCATACAAAATCCATACAATTTGGATTAATGTGATTAAAATTAAAAACTAGGAATTTTATCAGTTGTAAATATTAGAATGAAGGGTTAAATTGGAAACTAAGTGCATGCAGCCAGAACACTTGCAGCTGGTTCTCTAGGCTCACTGCCAATGGGGAGAGAATTGCACTGGGGAAAACCTTCATAGGCAGAATTTTTAAAAAATGGGGAAGGAGGAGTTCCCCCTTACACTTACATTTCTTCTCTTGTTCCTTTTACTCTTTCAGACACACACATGCATACATGTAGCAAGAATGAAAGTGCCAAAAGAGTAAACCTTGTTAGCTTTAAAAATCACTCATCAAGCAATTCTATTACTTTTAATAATTTATTAAAGGTCCTAAAACAAAGATCAAAAGGAAATATATCTAAGCATTTATATTCAGTTCCACATCGCTTCATGACTAATTTGTAAAGGAGTGTATAAGTCTTCACAACTGAAGCCAAAATCATTTGAGGATACTTTGATATAATGCCACAAAGGATATGAACAGGAAGGCAGCAGGAATTACAAATGGCCAAGCTCCATTAAGAGTGCTAATAAAAGAATAATGGAATTTCCTTGTGCGATGAATTAAAAAAAGTGTTTAGTACAGGAGAATTTAGACAAGAAGAAGAGTATCAAAGCTTTTGGCTCTTCAGTTGCTTCTCTTTATTAGATCTTAACTGATCTATTATTACATTTATCTTACACTGCTCCAGCTTCAAAATGCAATATTCCCATCAGAAATCCTGTCACTAATTTCTTTTACTCATAACATTTGTCAATTGCCACCAGCCCTTAACATCTGCACTATCAGACTATCCAAGTCTCTCTACAAAAAAGACATATTAAAGTGAAGGATGTAACTTGAAAATAATTTTAACAATTATATATCTACTGTTAATGCTTTTGAAAATTTGTCAATGCTCGAGATAATTGGTTGGTATGGAAATATCATAGTAACAAACTGCATGAAGTTATTCAGGAAAGAGTTCTCTATTTCCAACACACATTTATTTCCACACAGGGGCATAACTTACTAGTAAGAATGACAAGACAGATAGATGACTCACTAGTACTTTTTAAAAATTCCAATATTTTCCAAATTGCACAAATACTTAGCCCTTCTCAAAACAGCAACACCACAAAAGTAGATCACATATTGCTGACAAATAGTTACAAATCAGCTGTGCATGCTTAAACTCATGAATGATTGGGTGTATTTTCTTCCTTAGAATGCCCAGCAGGATTTCTGTTAACAAAGCAACCCCTCCAATCATACCTCCAGAATCAACAGGTAATCCATTAGGGTCACATATTTCAAGGCTTAATGGGCATAACAAACTAACCAATGTATTCAAGAGCAACAAGCTTTAAAAATGTATCAAATACCACGTGTTGATTTTATAAGATTCATTGTCAATCCATAAATTATATTTCTGGAAGGTCAGTGAGAGCTGTATGTTTCACAAATATCAAATCCAGAAATACAGTTTCAGGCTTAGGCATGAACAAATGTATCACTTATACATTTAACATATTACAATTAAAAGAAAGTTAAGATGCCTTAGAGACACTTCAAGAGCTTCATCATTCTCTTTCACCTTTATATTTATCACACAAGATAGTTATCTTAAATGTTTTAAATTGTTCTAAACAAAACATACTGCTAGTGTATTTTTTTCTTACCTTAGGATCATAAGGATTGTATGAATGAAAAAGTTGGGATAGATCCTTAGTTCTTTGCTTTTTCTGCAGAATAATAATAAAAATAAATAAATGTATTAGAGAAATTAAAGGGCAAAAGAAAGGAACAGCAGATTTTAAAATGCTTTATACAAGTATACACATGTACGATCTGCAGACTTGTTAGTGGAACTGCACGTGCGAAGTATAGATTATGCATGGTAAGGATATTAAATATCACAAGAAAGAGCTAACATATTATTAAATAATCATTTTAAAGGCATTACCTTAATAAAAATAAGGCACGTGTATATACATCTGTAATATCATAGGAATCTGTGAATATCTGAGATGCATTTTAAGTTATTTAGAAGAAATCATCTATGTTTTGGAACATACCGTACTGAAAATTTGGAAAGATTTACTTATAATTCAAGCATTTTTCATAGTCTAGTCTTACAGTAGAATAGGTTTAATGGCAGTTTAAAGTTGCCTCATTTATTATTTGTATTATTCTTTTGGTGTTAACGCTGCTGTAACCCTGATTCTGGACAATTAATAAATGCTATGATATTTAATGCCCCTAACAAATTCTTCTGTAACTGAAGATATGGTGCAGAGAGAGATGGGAAGAAAACAGTCACTGTGGGCTGAATCCAACTTAGACTGAAATCAATGAAAGACTTTCCACTAAGTTTAATGGAAGTTAATCAGACCATCTGTAGGGAAAATTAAATACAACCTTTCAGCTGCATCTAACTTGACAAAATAGTGCTGACTGCAGCTGCCTTTATATTTAATATAAAAATGTGCCTCACAGAGGCTACAAATCCCATACAAGTTCCATTCTGACTACAGGAGAAAACTTGCTGCTTAGAAAAAGATGGATCGTTGTGTGCTCTAAACTTAAGTAAACCAGGGGCATCTACATGCTATGTTCTTCAACTCTTAGGTTGTATTTTGGCCTGTAGGCTGCACTTAAGTCAGACAAGTTCACCATCTAATTAGATGGATCTATTGATGTTTATAGCACTTTGGACTCTAAACAGGTGGCTGCATGACTGCAATGTTTATTTTAAGCAGCCGGAATGTAGTAGGCAATTTAGGTTATCTTTGATGATGCAACAAGAAAATCCCTAATTATTTCCCATCTTGGCACCACTTTTATTTTCTTTTAAAAGTGGAAATACAATGGCTTCATATTGCATGTGGTAATTCTAGTTTCCAGGCCAATACAATCTTATAAAGGTACCTGCAGCTAGGATAATTAGGGACACTAAAGTTATCAGACGAATAACTATTTTTCTGTGAGGTCAGTACTTCTGTTTTAGTTACCAGCACTAAACAGTCAAGAATAATAATCTCTCCCTCTTTAAACAAGCAGGGTAAATGATGGTTTTCAGTATAAAAAAGGGGCATATGTGTAGCTGATACTGATTAGCATAAGTAATACCTAATAAGAAGAGTTCTTCTGAGACTGCGAATGAGCTAATTGGTTTCTCTATCACTAAGATTAGTGATCTCTAAGATAAATTTTTCTAGTTGTAGTTTCTTCTTCCAGCTGCACAGCAATACAGTATGTCTTCACCAAAGAACAGATCTCCTTAGCATGGGATCTTTAGCATCAGGTATGCCAAAGTGTTTTTTTCCAAATTATTAAATAAAAACATTGGCTATCTCAGGTATTTCAACTCGTCAGCTCCACCAGTCTGGATTACCAGGCATTCTAAATGTCTTCCCTGTCAGTTATTCAGAGAAATATGATGATAAATTGGAAAACTATAGGTACATTATAATTTACTAAGCTCCTTAGTAAAATATTAATACATAAGTATGCAAAAAGTAAACAAACAAAAAAAAGATTAGTCAAACTTGGAAACTTCTATCAGATTTCATAGAAATATCTGGAGAAGATACAATTCTTATTTGTCCGTATTCGTGACAGCTCATCCCTCCTCTCTTCTTAGCCCGTTTTTTCTAATGCTCATGATGTTCTTTTTATTATATTATTGTAATTGCTTTAAGAAAACCAATAACATTATATGACAGAGAAGCCAGCTGCAGCCCTTTGACTCCTGGCAAACTGCCATGTGTCCCTCAGTCAGGCAAAGCATGGATGCCCTCTCTTATACCCTGTACACATGCCATCTAGCACTCTTTCATTAAAGGATATATAAGTTTCTTTCCTCACTCACAAAACACGGACATTTTTTTTTCCTCTACGTAAAACAAAATGGTTATTACAAAGATGGTGGAGGGAGCTGTACAGTCACTAAAAGAGAGAGGCAAGGGAGGATGGCACACAGAGGTTTGGGGGTTAGAAGATGGAGGAATGAAACAAGATCCTGGTGTGTGAAATGTGCTTGGCCTACAGAAGTATGGTGTGTGCTACCCTGTAGTGATAGCTCTTGGTTCACTGACAAAAAACTTAATTCATGCAGTTACGGTTGCTCAATGGTATCTCATGCCCTTCCAGAACATCAAGTTCAGCAAAACTCAAACGTCTGAAAAACAAGGAATAAAGAGTTAAGGTACGCCTCCCAAACTATGTCCCTGGACCACCGTCCCCTCCACTCCAGACGAGGTAATAAATAACTTAATTCTGCATTTTTGGTTTTTCAGAGGTTTACATTTGTGTCACCGTAACTCTTTGTTTCCTGATTTTCAAAGTTTACGTTTAGCCATTCTTCACATTCTAGAAAGCCATTGGGCAACCTTAACTCTGCATTATCAAAGTTTTGGGGTATTTAATTTCCTTGTTTTTTTAAAAAAATGATTTCTTCACAGGCCTATTTATTAGAGCTCAGCTGTCCCACTCCACTACCTCTGACACCTGGGCAATGATTACCCTGGCCACAGAATGAACTGGCTGCATGTTAGTCCCTTTGTTGACTCTGCATCATCTCCTTGTCTCCAGTCTCTTTGCCTGTCCAGCACAGCCTGGTTCTCCCTTCCCACCTGTCCTTTCCATGGAGAGGCAGGCATCAGAATGAGATCCACAGGCTGAGGATCTGGGGAGAGAATGTAGGAACAATGCAGGGATGAGCACTGAGTCAGTGAGGGCATTTTCTGAAGGGAGGTCACAGATATAGGGGGGACATAAAAGGACAAATGGTCCAGTGGTTTGGGACTGGAACTTGAGATACTTGGTGTGACAGGTTTCAATTGGTCCACCGAGCCGCTGGGTGGCTCCTCTGCGTTCCAGCCCAGGGCCCTGACAGTGGCGGGAGGAGAGGGTCCTGCCACTGGGTCAGCGGGGAACCATCCGCGCCCCGCTGACCAAATAGACCCACCGCACTGTGGAGTTCTGCCCCTGGGCTACTTCCTAACCGGTCTCTCGAGCGGGTCCCTCTGGTCCCTCCAGCTCATCAGGGTATTCAGCTGCTGGCAGCTCCAGCTCCCCCTCTGCATCAGGCTCACGCTGTCCTGGGTTACTGCCTGGCTCCTCCAGTTCCTCTGGGTACTCGGCAGCTGGCAGTCCTGGTATCCCCAGTCCTTCCTTCAGGTCAGGTTTCTCCTGGTCCAGGGCCTCCCCTGGCTCGACAGCAGGGTCAGGAGGGAACAGCCAGCAGCCTGTGTCTCCCTCCCTCCCTGCCCTCACTGGACTAAGGGCCCTCCCTTTCCGAGGGTTGGAGTAAGCTTGGTCTGGCACTGCCCATGCAGGCTGAGAGAGTGGCTCTTTACCCTCTGGTTCGGAGGGAAGCCACCCTGGCTCCCTACACTTGGGTTCAATCCCCTGCTCTGCAACAGATTTTCTGTGTGACCTTAAGCACAGACTGTGTGACCTTGTGCAAGACTGCCTCTCTGTGTCTCAGTTTTCCCATCTGTAAAAATGGGAATAATTGTTACTTCCCTACCCACAGAGGTGCTTTGAGAATAAATAAATTAAAGACTGTGAGGCACTCAGCTACGACAGTGATAGGGACCATATAAGTACCCGTCATTGACTGATTGATGTGGGGATTTTAGGGGGCAAAGCTGAAGCCACCCTAACATTGTCCACTGCATAGCTCTTCCTTGCACTATTCCAACACTTCCCCTCAATGCTCTGATCCTCATATTCCAACCCCCAACTGCTCAGACTCCCTTACCACTGCTCCAGCTCTTCCAATGCTCCTGCCATCACACTTGTTCTGAGTCACCTTTCACACAGCCCTGCTGCTCCAAGCCCTCTACACACACATCCCTGCTGCTTTGGGTGTCCTTGTCCTGGATCCACCCTCTTCTGTGTCACTCTATGCCCCTGGGAAGGCCAAGAAGAGCTACCTTCGTGGGGCTGTGCAGCATGCATGTACCAGCTGGAGGCAACAAGGGACAGGAGAGTGGAGATGCTATCCAGATCTGAGTTTAGTGTACAGGAAAGGGGTTCTACACACCCAACTGCAGTATAGGAGGTTCAGAGAGGTGTGAAGTGGCCCATGCATCTCAATGAAATATTCTCAGCAGAATAAGAACACGCCAAGGAGAGGAATACAGCCTAAAACAATAGCTCTGAGAGGTGTAAACTGCTCCATAGTGGTTATTCCCCTCCCCCCCCACCGCCCCGTGTCAGTGCTTATGAGCCTGTGCTAGGCATCTAGAATTCCTGTTCTCAACTCCTCCCCACAGTCTCAGTAGCATGGCCCAGATGCACAGTGATTTAGGTACTCAGCTCCCATCTTTGGCACCTAAACCGAAAATTTATGTCCCACTGAGATTCTCAAAACTCCTGCTCAGCAGCTATTACAGGATAAATCCAGCTTTACTCCTGTGGCTCCATCACTCTGTGGGGATGGCACATGCGCTGTTTGGTCAGGACTAGGAACTGCCAGGGGCTTGAGCATGCTCAGTGAGGACAGAATCTTCAGAGATTTTTAGCTGCTAAAATCTAAGAAGTCTCTACTGAGCATGTGCAGACAGTAATATTTTAAAGCCTCATAATTTGGCCAAATTTCGGCAGATTTCCACAGGGACAGCAAAAGGCACAATTCTAACAAAAATGCCATCCCCTTGCTACATTTTAAGACCCTGCTCCAAAGTCTGGGGGCATTAGAGCAATTCAAAAAAAAGGTTGCCAGAGTTTTGTA